GCTGCAATGAGTCATTCGAGGTGTTTGGAGCAGCGCATGTGCTTCAAGAGCGGAAAAAACATCACTGGAAGACGACTAGAGAGATCAGGAAGACCTTCAAAATGCCGAAAATGCCCTCTTTCCGAAGATGAAGATTCAGCTCAATGGTCACCGTTTAGAAAACATTGCGGTGATCCAGCGACTTGCCCAAAAGACATCGTCCTGTGTACATCGGGAGCTGTGCAACTGGTTCTCTTCTGACCATGTGCGTTACCACGTCTGCTATTTCATCATGGAAAACAAGTTAGAACGAAGAACAAATGTGATGTTCTGCATGAAACCAGGCAAATCACTGGATCTCCACAATGTTTTACAAATGGCGACCTTTGAGCTGGATCTTCATCTTCGGAAAGAGGGCATTTTCAGCTCGTTGAAGGTCTTCCTGATCTCTCGTTGTCTTCCAGTGATGTTCTTGCTGAATTGTGTCAGAGGTCTCTGTGGCAGATTTTCCCCCGATGTACACAGGACGATGTCTTTTGGGCAAATCACTGGATCTCCGCAATGTTTGACCTTTGAGCTGGATCTTCATCTTCGGAAAGAGGGCATTTTCAGCTCGTTGAAGGTCTTCCTGACCTCTCGTTGTCTTCCAGTGATGTTCTTGCCGAATTGTGTCAGAGGTCTCTGTGGCAGATTTGCCCCCGATGTACACAGGATGATGTCTTTTGGGCAAATCACTGGATCTCCGCAATGTTTTTCCAAATGGTGACCTTTGAGATGGATCTTCATCTTCGGAAAGAGGGCATTTTCAGCTCGTTGAAGGTCTTCCTGATCTCTCGTTGTCTTCCAGTGATGTTCTTGCCGAATTGTGTCAGAGGTCTCTGTGGCAGATTTGCTCCCGATGTACACAGGACGATGTTTGTTGGGCAAATCACTGGATCTCCGCAACGTTTTCCAAATGGTGACCTTTGAGCTGGATCTTCATCTTCGGAAAGAGGGCATTTTCAGCTCGTTGAAGGTCTTCCTGATCTCTCGTTGTCTTCCAGTGATGTTCTTGCCGAATTGTGTCAGAGGTCTCTGTGGCAGATTTGCTCCCGATGTACACAGGACGATGTTTGTTGGGCAAATCACTGGATCTCCGCAATGTTTTCCAAATGGTGACCTTTGAGCTGGATCTTCACCTTAGGTAAGAGGGCATGTTCGGCATTTTGAGCTCGTTAAAGGTCTACCTGCTCTCATTATCTTTCAGTGATGTTCTCTCCGCTCCTGAAGCGTGTGTGACGCTCCAAACCCCTCGAACGACTCATTGCGGCAGCGTCGTAAAAGTGCCGAATCGTGTCAGGCGTCTTTGTGGCAGATTTGTCCGATTTCACGCCAAATTTCCCATTTGTCTTTTGTTTTAACTTGCTGTCCACAATGAAATAGCAGACATGGTCAGAATAGCACCAGTTACACAGCTCCCGATGTACACAGGACAATGGAAGAGTCATTCCAATGTATAAAATGTTCATTATGATGATGGAACACAAATCTGGGTGCAAATTGCCGTACTTCCTCTACTGTGTGGGGTTCCAGTATAGTCTGTGGCAGGGCTTTTCTTCAGCGAGAACATGGGGGAATGTATGGAATCACAAGGGGGTGTGCTGGGGGGGCCTATTGATGTTGGCTTCTGAAGGATCTATTGTTTCTGGAAGGGATCTATTTTTGCATGGGGTCTATTGTTGCTGGTGAGGGTTCTATTGTTGCTAGGGGCATATTATGTTTCTAGGGGGTCATTTGTTTTAGGGAGGGATATACTTTTAAGTGAGGGATCTATTGTTGCTGGAGGGGATCTATTTTTGCATGGGGTCTGTTGTTGCTGGCGAGGGTTCTATTGTTGGTAGGGGCATATTCTGTTTCTGGGGGGGGTCATTTGTTTTTGGGAGGGATCTACTGTTAAGCGAGGGGTCTGGTCTTGCTGGAGGGGATCTATTTTTGCATGGGGTCTTTTGTTGCTGGTGAGGGTTCTATTGTTGGTAGGGGCATACTATGTTTCTGGGGGGGTATTTGTTTCAGGGAGGGATCTACTCTTAAGCGAGGGGTCTATTCTTGCTGGAGGGGATCAATTTTTTCATGGGGTCTATTGTTGCTGGTGATGGTTCTACTGTTGGTAGGGGCATATTATGTTTTTGTTTCTGGGAGGGATCTACTGTTAAGCGAAGGGTCTATTCCTGCTGGAGGGGATCTATTTTTTCATGGGGTCTTTTGTTGCTAGTGAGGGTTCTATTGTTGGTAGGGGAATCTCATGTTTCTGGGGGGTCATTTGTTTCTGGGAGGGATATACTCTTAAGTGAGGGGTCTATTCTTGCTGGAGGGGATCTATTCTTGCATGGGGTCTATTGTTGCTGGTGAGGGTTATATTGTTGGTAGGGGCATATTATGTTTCTGGGGGGTCATTTGTTTCTGGGAGGGATATACTCTTAAGCGAGGGGTCTATTCTTGCTGGAGGGGATCTATTTTTCCTGGAGGAGATCTATTTCTGCATGGGGTCTATTGTTGCTAGTGAGGGTTCTATTGTTGGTAGGGGTGTATTATGTTTGTGGGGGGTCATTTGTTTCTGTGAGGAATCTACTATTAAGCGAGGGGTCTATTATTGCTGGAGGGGATCTATCTGTGCATGGGGTCTATTGTTGCTGGTGAGGGTTCTATTGTTGGTAGGGGTGTATTATGTTTCTGGGGGGTAATTTTTTTCTGGGAGGGAACTACTGTTAATAGAGGGGTCTATGGTTGCTGGAGGGGTCTGCTGTTATATGTATATTGTGTCTTCTATATGCCTAGGGGCTTGATTTTATACACCTGTGGCCATGGAGGTGGTTGGAATACCTGAATCACATGATTTGAAGGGCTGGCCCAGTACTTTTGGCAATATGGTGTATGCTGCAATTGTGTTTGCCTTCGATCCTCCTGAAGAGGCAGGACCTGAAACGCGTCGGGGAGTACAGGAATCCATTCACCCCCCAATGGAATCATTGTAGAGATGATTGGATGAGTTCACTACTATATATGGTGTACCAGAACTCGCTTCAAATGTTTTTATATCTTCTATTTTAACATGCTTGTAATAATAAAAAGATTTCCACCATTTTTTTGTTGTTGTTATTTCTTTATTTACAGAGAAAATATATACAAAATTTACAATTTACAAAGTAAGGTTACAAAACATTCACCTACAACAGTCCCATGACACGAGCATCAAGGAGGGGCTCAAGATGGGCAACATTAGTCTACGGATGGCTACCACCAGGCATGAGGCCAACCAGGCCATGATTCTAGAGGACCTCTTGTTCCAGGTGCCGGTGGTCTTACATTAGGTGGGAAAATCCCAGTGGTCCTCCTCTGTCTGGGGGCATGCCCATTGGTGGACCTAAGGGCCCCTGCACCTCTGGACCCCATTACATTACACAGCCCCCTGCACCTCTGGACCCCATTACATTACACAGCCCCTGCACCTCTGGACCCCATTACATTACACAGCCCCCCTTTACATTGCACAGCCCCCTGCACCTCTCGACCCCATTACATTACACAGCCCCCTGCACCTCTGGACCTTATTACATTACACAGCCCCCTGCACCTCTGGACCCCATTACATTACACAGCCCCCTGCACCTCTGGACCCCATTACATTACACAGCCTCCTGCACCTCTCGACCCCATTACATTACACAGCCCCCTGCACCTCTGAACCCCATTACATTACACAGCCCCCTGCACCTCTGGACCCCATTACATTACACAGCCCCTTGCACCTCTGGACCCCATTACATTACACAGCCCCCTGCACCTCTGGACCCCATTAAATTACACAGCCCCTTGCACCTCTCGACCCCATTACATTACACAGCCCCCTGCACCTCTGGACCCCTTTACATTACACAGCCCCTTGCACCTCTCGACCCCATTACGTTACACAGCCCCTGCACCTCTAGACCCCTTTACATTACACAGCCCCTGCACCTCTGGACCCCTTTACGTTACACAGCCCCCTGCACCTCTGGACCCCTTTACATTACACAGCCCCTGCACCTCTGGACCCCTTTACGTTACACAGCCCCCTGCACCTCTGGACCCCATTACATTACACAGCCCCTGCACCTCTGGACCCCTTTACATTACACAGCCCCTGCACCTCTGGCCCCCTTTACATTACACAGCCCCTGCACCTCTGGCCCCCTTTACATTCCACAGCCCCCTGCACCCCTAGACCCCTTTATATTACACAGCCCCTGCAGCTCTGGACACCTTTACATTACACAGCCCCCTTTACATTACACAGCCCCTGCACCCAGGGCCATGGATAAGGGGGTACCACCAGTCCTCCTGTACAGGGCGCAGGACAGCAGGGGGGCCCAGGTAGCTGGGTAAATCGGACAGGGAGGGTGATGGGTGTGGCAGGGGGGCAATTACTGGAACCAATCCCCTGTATGGCTTTCTCTGCAGCAGCTGAAAGCTGGATTCTTCTCTCCAGGTTCCAGTAATTGCCTTCAGGGCTGCTGTTAGAAACCACGGGGCCCCATACAGCCAATGTAAAAGGGCCCCTTAAAAAAAAACCCACAAACTTTACTATGCTTCAGTTATGAATGCACACAGTAAGTGATCAGTATCGATCACTCATTGTGTTCATTTAGGAAAGGGAGGGGCTGGTCAATGTGACATAATTATCTGACCCTTCCCCCGCTCTCCATCCTGAAGGATCCTATTGTGTACTTGCAGCTGCCATTGGAAGGAGAGGAGGGAAGCCGGCACAGTGGGGGCCCAGACAGCCGGGTGAATCAGATGTGCACAGGGAGTGCGATTGGCACGGCGGTCTGTTTTAGTTTTTAGTCTGTTCATCCTTCAGAAGCTTTAAAGTTTACATTTCCCACTTTTTTGCATTCTTTAGTGTATTTATTTCATCCCCATTCTGATGCTCGGTCTGAACTTCAGCAAGTCCCACTCATGTGATTCAGGTGTTCCAATCCCCTCCATATCATGTGATTTAGGTGTTCCAATCCCCTCCATATCATGTGATTCAGGTGTTCCAATCCCCTCCCAATCATGTGATTCAGGTGTTCCAATCCCCTCCATATCATGTGATTTAGGTGTTCCAATCCCCTCCATATCATGTGATTCAGGTGTTCCAATCCCCTCCATGGACACAGGTGTATACAATCACACCCCTAGGCATGCAGATGGCTTCTACAAACATTGGTGAAAGAATGGGTCGCTCTCAGGAGCTCAGCAGTGACTCCAAGCGTGGTCCCGTGATAGGTGGTCACCTGGGCAATAAGTCCATCCGTGACATTTCCTGGCTACTAAATATTCCACGCTCAACTGTTAGTGGGATTATAACAAAGTGGAAGCAACTGGGAACAACAGCCACTCAGCCACCAAGTGGTAGGCCATGTCACATGACAGGACGGGGTCAGCGCATGCTGAAGCGCACAGTGCGCAGAAGTCGCCAACTGTCTGCAGAGTCAATAGCTAAAGACCTCCAAACTTGGTGTGGCCTTCAGATGAGCCCAACAACAGTGCTTAGAGAGCTTCATGGAATGGGTTTCCATGGCCGAGCAGCTGCATCCAAGCCTTCCATCACCAAGTGCAATGCAAAGCGTCGGATGCCGTGGTGTAAAGCATGCCGCCACGGGACTCTAGAGCAGAGGAGGCGTGTTCTCTGGAGTGACCAATCACGCTTCTCTGTCTGGCAATCTGATGGACATGTCTGGGTTTGGCGTTTGCCAGGAGAACGGTACTTGCCTGACTGCATTGTGCCAAGTGTAAAGTTTGGTGGAGGGGGGATTATGGTGTGGGGTTGTTTTTTAGGGGTTGGGCTTGGCCCCCTAGTTCCAGTGAGGGGAACTCTTAAGGCATCAGCATATCAAAATATTTTGGACAATTTCATGCCCCCAACTTTGTGGGAAGAGTTTGGGGATGGCCCCTTCCTGTTCCAACATGACTGCCCACCAGTGCACAAAGCAAGGTCCATAAAGACATGGAGGAGCCAGTTTGGGGTGGAGGAACTTGACTGTCCTGCACAGAGTCCTGACCTCAACCCCATAGAACACCTTTGGGATGAATTAGAGCGGAGACTGCGAGCCAGGCCTCCTCCCCCGACATCAGTGCCTGACCTGACAAATGTGCTTCTGGAAGAATGGTCCAACCTTCCCATAGACACCCTCCTAAACCTTGTGGACGGCCTTCCCAGAAGAATTGAAGCTGTTATAGCTGCAAAGGGTGGGGCCAACTCAATATTGAACCCTACGGACTAAGACTGGGAGGCCATTAAAGTTCATGTGCGTGGAAAGGGTGGGGCCAACTCAATATTGAACCCTATGGACTAAGACTGGGGGGCCATTAAAGGTCATGTGTGTGGAAAGGGCGGAGACCAATAGTTTTGACAACGTAGTGTATCTCTGCAGCAAGAACTTCAATGGGTCTTTCCAGGGAGAGACATTTACTGGATTCCAGAACAGGTGACACGGAGTATTTGTAAATATTACAATGAACAGAAGTCCTCAGAGTCCCATTCATCATTCATACTACAGCAAGCATAGAGATGTTACGCCATCCAGCATATCTCCAATCTATCATATGCACCTACGTAGCTTCCATGCATGCAATAATGTGTTTGACAATCTAGACCTGGGCTTCAACAATGAATAATATAACGGCTCAAGCTTCTCTCTGAAATATCACTGAGTAAAGCTGAAAAAGGTTTCTGATTGGTTGACTAAACACATTTGATCTCAACATGAAAAGGTCCTACTTGCAATTACCAGAAATAACAATGAAGGTAACTGTTTACCAAGTTACCCTGTGAATGTCATTTAGCATGAATACCCCTCAAGTCTAATTACCATCATTAAATACTTCTTGTATGGTCAAATAACATTCTTTATCAGACCTCCAGGTCACTCATGGCATTGGCCATTCTATAGACCTCCAGGTCACTCATGGCATTGGCCATTCTATAGACCTCCAGGTTACCCATTGGCCATTCTCTATACCTACTGGTCACTCTCTTGGCATTGGCCATTCTATAGACTTCTTGGTCACATTCCTGGCATTGGCCATTCTATAGACATCAAGGTCATTCTCCTGGCATTGGCCATTCTATAGATCTCAAGGTCACTCTCCTGACATTGGCCATTCTATAGAGCTCTTAGTCACTCTCCTGGCATTGGCCATTCTAAAGACCTCTTAGTCACTCTCCTGGCTTTGGCCATTCTATAGACCTCTTGGCCACATTTCTGGCATTGGCCATTCAATAAACATTAAGGTCACTCTCCTGGCATTGGGCATTCTATAGACCTCCAGGTCACTCTCCTGGCATTGGCCATTCTATAGACCTCCAGGTTACTCTCCTGGCACTGGCCATTCTATAAACCTTTCAGTTTACCCATTGGCCATTCTATAGACCTCCCGGTCACTCTTTAGACCTTCTGTTCATTTTCCTGGCTTTGGACAGTCTATAGACCTCCTGGTTACTCTCCTGGCATTAGCTATTCTATAGATATCCTGGTCATTATCCTGGCTTTGGCCATGCTATAGACATTCAGGTCACTCTCCTGGTATTGGCCATTCTATAGACCTCCAGGTCACTCTCCTGGCATTTGCCATTCTATAGACCTTTGATTCTCTCTCCTAGCATTGGTCATTCTATAGACTTCCTGGTCACATTCCTGGCATTGGCCATGCTATGGACATTCAGGTCACTCTCCTGGCACTGACCATTCTATAGACCTCCAGGTCACATTCCTGGTATTGGCCATGCTATAGACCTCCAGGTTGCTCTCCTGGCACTGGCCATTCTATAGACCTTCCAGTTTACCCATTGGCCATTCTTTAGACCTCCTGGTCACTCTCCTGGCATTGCCCATTCTATAGACCTTCAGGTCAGTCTCTTGGAATTGGCCATTCTATAGATATCCTGGTCACTCTCCTGGAATTGGCCATTCTATAGATATCCTGGTCATTCTCCTGGCTTTGGCCATGCTATAGACATTCAGGTCACTTTCCTGGTATTGGCCATTCTATAGATCTCCAGGTAACTCTCTTGGCATTTGCCATTCTATAGACCTTTGGGTCTCTCTCCTAGCATTGGTCATTCTATAGATCTTCCAGTTTATCCATTAGCCATTCTATTGACCTCCTGGTCACTCTCCTGGAATTGGCCATTCTATAGACCTCCTGGTCACTCTCCTGGCATTGGCCATCCTATAGACCTCCAGGTCACTCTTGTAGCATTTGCAGTGCATCTGTGTCCAACAAGTTTACGGAACTTTGCCTCTTCCGGTGGGTTTTTACGATGAGTAAAGGTTGGGTTGTCTTGTTGAGAAATGTAGAAATGTTTGTGCAGCACAAGTCTGATAGGATCTTAGCACCTCGCCTTGGAATATTAGGCAACATACCTTCCTGTGCTTTACGACATCCTATTTCCCAGCAGATTGCATGCTGGGTGTAGACTGTGTTGTGTTTTTCTGTCCATTCACTGCCAGACGGATCTACTGGAGGACAAATATGAACTTCTATTTCTGGGTCCTTATTGTGGGTGTGATGGGTAAGTCTCCAACTCTAGAAGGCAATGGGAGCCTGCTGGCATAGTTATGTGAGCTTCCATTGCTGACTTGTTTCTGAAGCTGCATCATCCATGACTGCCCTTCCATGCTTGGTATGGAACAAGCATGACCATACCAGCTGTGGAGATACAAAGCCGTCCTCATTGTGGGTCACACTGTAGTGAAACGAGGATATTGATGACAGCTCTGGGCTGTGTGCCCTCAAAAACAAGTCAGCAGTATAACAATAGCATTTCTCTTGTGCTCTGTAGATCATAAAATGTTCTGATATGAAATAATTTTCACTGTTATTATTAATACTTTGTCCCGTCCCAATGAGGCTCATTTTCTGCAACCTGTTTGCAGCCACATCCTGTGATGGCTGCAATGCATTTCTCGGTGGGTTTCCTGATGGTGACAACAGTGTATCATGTCTGTATAATGTGTGCTGATATGGTTGATTGTTGATTGAATGCCTAGACCTTCACCCCTCAGATCACCCCAACTCCTGCACCTTCACCCCTCAGATCACCCAAATCCTGCTCCTTCACCCCTCAGATCACCCCAACTCCTACACCTTCACCCCTCAGATCACCCCAAATCCTGCACCTTCACCCCTCATATCACCCCAAATTCTACACCTCCACCCCTCATATAACCCTAACTCCTGCACCTTCACCCTTAAGATCACCCCAAATTCTGCACCTTCACCCCAACTCCTACACCTTCACCTCTTAGATCACCCCAACTCCTGCACCTTCACCCCTCAGATCACCCAAATCCTGCACCTTCACCCCTCAGATCACCCCAACTCCTGCACCTTAACCCCTCAGATCACCCAAATCCTGCACCTTCACCCCTCAGATCACCTGAACTCCTACACCTTCACCCCTCAGATCACCCGAACTCCTACACCTTCACCCCTCAGATCACCTAAATCCTGCACCTTCACCTCTCAGATCACCCCAACTCCTGCACCTTCACCCCTCAGATCACCCAAATCCTGCACCTTCACCCCTCAGATCACCCCAACTCCTACACCTTCACCCCTCAGATCACCCAACTCCTACACCTTCACCCCTCAGATCACCCCAACTCCTACACCTTCACCCCTCAGATCACCCCAACTCCTACACCTTCACCCCTCAGATCACCCCAAATTCTACACCTCCACCCCTCATATAACCCTAACTCCTGCACCTTCACCCTTAAGATCACCCCAAATTCTGCACCTTCACCCCTCAGATCACCCCAACTCCTGCACCTTCACCCCTCAGATCACCCAAATCCTGCACCTTCACCCCTCAGATCACCCCAACTCCTGCACCTTAACCCCTCAGATCACCCAAATCCTGCACCTTCACCCCTCAGATCACCCCAACTCCTACACCTTCACCCCTCAGATCACCCCAACTCCTGCACATTCACCCCTCAGATCACCCAAATCCTGCACCTTTACCTCTCAGATCACCCAAACTCCTGCACCTTCACCCCTCAGATCACCCAAATCCTGCACCTTCACCCCTCAGATCACCCCAACTCCTACACATTCACCCCTCAGATCACCCCAACTCCTACACCTTCACCCCTCAGATCACCCCAAATCCTGCACCTTCACTCCTCATATCACCCCAAATTCTACACCTCCACCCCTCATATAACCCTAACTCCTGCACCTTCACCCCTAAGATCACCCCCAAATTCTGCACCTTCACCCCAACTCCTGCACCTTCATCCATCAGATCACCCCAAATCCTACACCTTCACAACTTAGATTACCCCAACTCCTGCACCTTCTCCCCTCAGATCACCCCAAATTCTGCACCTTCACACCTCAGATCACCCCGATTCCAGCACCTTCACCCCTCAGATCATCCCAATTACAGCACCTTCACCCCTCAGTAGAAGGAGAGGTGATTGGGACGGTTTGAGGAGCCTCTGACGGTGCGGTTGTTTTAAAGAACAAAAGGATGATGCTTGAACAAAAATGAGCTGCATGGTCAAGTTACCTGAAAGAAGATTTTACGGCACCAATGCCTCAAAAAAAAGTCTGGTTACAAGTGGTTGTAACTCGAACATGCAGCTTGTTTTTGTTCAGTTCTTTTCTGCTCCCCATGGCTCAGTGTCCAGTCTGCTTAGTGCATCCACGTAAGAGCTAACACACTCACTGACTATTTATACACTGACACTAATTGCATTTTAAAAATACAGTATGCTATCCAATCCCCACATAAACTTTGGAGTACAACTGTGTATATACGTGTGGGGATTGGGTGATACCGGTAGCACCCTCTAGTGTGCTACTAGAATAGTGTATTGCAGGTAAAATGATTGTGTGTGACTCATGGTAACTGTCATGTGATTGAGGTCGGGTTACTGAAGGTCAGCTGGATGACTTAACAGGTTGTGGCTCTATCGCCTCCTCCTGACTCTGGAGGATCATAGAACCTTCCAGAAGTTGGTAAGCAGGAAGGGGTGGAGACCTAATCTGTGGGTTTATGGGAGTCCAGCCAATCCCAGGTTTGGATGCCCTGGTAGAGTGGTGGACTGGCCCATAAATTTGGGGGAGTCAGGCTGACAGGGGAGTCAGGTGGAAGATGGAGTGCTGAGGAGACTTTCGGTGCCTGGGATGGGTCTCCTAGGTCTATGGGGGGCTGGCCCCAGGCTGGGCTTGGGTTGGCTCAGGAGGATATATTCAGCAGTGCAGCGTGAATGGAATCGAGACCTGGAGCAGCAGGGGGCAGAGAGGACAGAGTGAGTACAGCAGCACTCTCTGGGATCTACAAGGGGGAAGACTGCCACACGTAGCAAGCTTTCAAAGGACAGCGCTGAGTTCAATCCTTTACCCTTGTCCCAGGAGATCTTCTGAGAAGCCAAGAGGGCTGGTGGTGTCTGCAAGATGTGGAGCTGGGAGCAGCTCTACAGGGGGAGAGAGGACAGAGTGAGTACAGCAGCGCTCTCTGGGATCTACAAGGGGGAAGACTGCCACATGTAGCAAGCTTTCTAAGGACAGCGCTGGACTCAATCCTTTATCCTTGTCCCGGAAAATCTTCTGAGAAGCCAGGAGGGCTGGGGGTGTCTGCAGAGGTGGGGATAGAAATAGCTCTACAGGGGGAGAGAGGACAGTGTGAGCTCAGCAGCGCTCTCTGGGATCTACAAGGGGAGAGACTGCCACATATAGCAAGCTTTCTAAGGACAGCGTTGGGCTCAATCCTTTACCCTGGTCCCGGGAGATCTTCTGAGAAGTCAGGAGGGCTGGTGGTGTCTGCAGGACATGGAGCTGGGAGCAGCTCTACAGGAGGATAGAGAGGACAGAGTGAGTACAGCAGCCAGGGGCGGACTGACCATTCAAGCACTCGGACACTGCCCGAAGTCCCGGGGTCAATAGGGGGCCCCATGAGATGCCCCTGGCACCTTTTTTTTAATAGGCTTTTTTGGGTGTGGACAAGGACACAGGGGCCTCATGATCCCTATTGCCTGGGGGCCCCATGAGTTGTCAGTCCACTCCTGACAGAAGCACTCTCTTAAATCTACAAGGGGGAAGACTGCCACACTTAGCAAGCTTTCTAAGGACAGCACTGGGCTCAATCCTTTATCTTTGTCCCCGGAGATCTTCTGAGAAGTCAGGAGGGCTGGTGGTGTCTGCAGGACGTGGAGCTGGGACTAGCTCTACAGGAGGATAGAGAGGACAGAGTGAGTACAGCAGCACTCTCTGGGATCTACAAGGGGGATGACTGGCACATGTAGCAAGCTTTCTAAGGACAAGCGCTGGACTCAATCCTTTACCCTGGTCCCGGGAGATCTTCTGAGAAGTCAGGAAGGCTGGGTGGTGTCTGCAGGTAGTCGAGCTGAGAGCAGCTCTACAGGGGTAGAGAGGACAGAGTAAGTACAGCAGCACTCTCTGGGATCTACAAGGGGGACGACTGCCAAACATAGCAAGCTTTCTAAGGACAATGCTGGGCTCAATCCTTTACCCTGGTCCCAGGAGATCTTCTGAGAAGCCAGGAGGGCTGGGTGGTGTCTGCAGGACATGGAGCTGGGAGTAGCACTACAGGGGGAGAGAGGACAGAGTGAGTACAGCAGCGCTCTCTGGGATCTACAACGGGAGAGAAGACAGAGTGAGTACAGCAGCACTCTCTAGGATCTACAAGGTGACTTCTACACTTAGCAAGCTTTCTAAGGACAGCGTTGGGCTCAGTCCTTTATCCTTGTCCCAGGAGATCTTCTGAGAAGCCAGGAGGGCTGGTGGTGTCTGCAGGACATGGCACTGGGAGTAGCTCTACAGGAGGATAGAGAGGACATCTCTACATGTAGATATGAGAAGTTAAGCTGATTTTAAGGGTCTGCTTGTTCCTCACCCATAAGGGACTGTTTCTACTGACTCACAACCACTGATGGCTTGCAGGAAAAGACCAGTCCAGGATCTGCTTTGTACATAGGAGGGAAGTGTCCCCTTTCCATTGATTTAAGCCACCTTGACATCCCATAATTCCTATTTCCCCATCCAAGTTGATTTCCCCTAATAAAACAACAAAACCAAGCCCATGGACTGGTCACTGTCTGTGTGAGGAACACCTGTTGCCTGGCTGTTCAGAGAGAAGTTGAGGGGTACTCACCACACAGCGGCCCTCCCGGGTAGATCCTCATAAATAGACTCTTTCATTTGATGATCTAAGGATCGGAGCCTGGATGTTGGCACGGACACATACCCCCTCGTCTTCATGATTTTGGAATACTTAATATGGGGTAATGGTGGATCATTGTCTCTGACCTCCTTCTACAATCTGGGGTGACCGCACCCCCATGATCTGCACTGCATTGTATCATATGTGACCCTGATCTTCCTTTCCAGGACAATCCGACGGAGAATCCACAGTGTGTCTCATGGGGGGGAGTAAGGTCACATGCAGCAAAGAGAAGGCCAACCAAACCTCTATGAGAGTCTATGAGAAGAAAATTTCATTATGGTGTAATAACACAAAAATAATCTGCCCAGCAAATCTGAACAATGTGAGCAGTACTATGAAGTCCCAGGAGCTCAAATGCAGGACAAAGAAGAGGCCAGCGCAGGACCTGAAATGTGAGACTTACAGGTGTCGCATAGGAAGAACCCTCTACGTATCTTCTCTACTTTTTGCTCTTCCAGGTAAGTTACTTTAAAGCTGATGGGAATTCTGTGTATATTTCAGTTTCCGTGCCCCCCCCCCCCTCCTCCCTCCTCATTATTAAATAAAACCTTTCCACTTTCATTACATACCTAATATTAGACCCAGTGACATCATCACTGGGTCTCAGTGCTTCTCTATGAAATGCAGGCAGCTCATGGCTGGTGGAAGGGGCTAGCAGGGTGCTGTACTGCTCTCAAGATGCAAAAAGTGGGTTGCCACTTGGGAGGAGTTATGTAAATATCAAAATATCTCGATCTGCGGGTGTCAGTCTGGGGAAGTGGGTGTTCGTAGGCAGGATGCATTTGTATGCAGATCACCCTAGGTAACAGCCACATGTGATGCTGGACCTCAGTTAGGCACAGATCTAAGATACATCTGCAAACATTTTGTTCTTCCCCTACTTGTATTCTTACATCATCCCTCTGGCCTCCCCTTCAGTCTTGCACAGGTGTACCTGCCCCTCCCCTTCAGTCTTGCACAGGTGTACCTGCCCCTCCCCTTCAGTCTTGCACAGGTGTACAGGCTCCTCCCCTTCAGTCTTGGACAGGTGTACCTGCCCCTCCCCTTCAGTCTTGCACAGGTGTACAGGCTCCTCCCCTTCAGTCTTGCACAGGTGTACTGGCTCCTCCCCTGCAGTCTTGCACAGGTGTTCCAGGTCCTCCCCTTCAGTCTTGTACAGGTGAACCAGCTCCTCCCCTTCAGTCTTGCACAGTTGTTCCAGCTCCTCCCCTTCAGTCTTGTACAGGTGTACCAGCTCCTCCCCTTCAGTCTTGTACAGGTGTACCAGCTCCTCCCCTTCAGCCTTGTACAGGTGTACCAGCTCCTCCCCTTCAGTCTTGCACAGTTGTTCCAGCTCCTCCCCTTCAGTATTGCACAGGTGTACAGGCTCATCTCCTTCAGTCTTGCACAGGTGTACCCGCTCCTCCCCTTCAGTCTTGCACAGGTGTACCGGCTCCTCCCCTTCAGTCTTGCACAGGTGTTCCAGCTCCTCCCCTTCAGTCTTGCACAGGTGTACCTGCCCCTCCCCTTCAGTCTTGCACAGGTATACCGGCTCCTCCCCTTCAGTCGTGCACAGGTGTACCAGCTCCTCCCCTTCAGTCTTGCACAGGTATACCTGCCCCTCCCCTTTCAGTCTTGCACAGGTGTACCTGCCCCTCCCCTTCAGTCTTGCACAGGTGTACTGGCTCCTCCCCTTCAGTCGTTCACAGGTGTACTGGCTCCTCCCCTTCATTTGTGCACAGGTGTATTGGCTCCTCCCCTTCAGCCTTGCACAGGTGTTCCAGCTTCTCCCCTTCAGTCCTGCACAGGTGTACCGGCTCCTCCCCTTCAGTCTTGCACAGGTGTACTGGCTCCTCCCCTTCAGCCCTGTACAGGTGTAGAGGCTCCTCCCCTTCAGTCCTGTACAGGTGTACCGGCTCCTCCCCTTCAGTCCTGTACAGGTGTACCGGCTCCTCCCCTTCAGTCTTGCACAGGTGTACTGGCTCCTCCCCTTCAGTCCTGTACAGGCATACCGCCCCTCCCCTTCGGTCCTGTACAGGTGTACCAGCTCCTCCCCTTCAGTTCTGTACAGGTGTACCGGCTCCTTCCCTCCAGTCTTGCACAGGTCTGCTGGCTCCTCGCCTTCATTCTTGCACAGGTGTACTGGCTCCTCCCCTTCAGTCTTGCACAGGTGTATTGGCTCCTCCCCTTCAGCCTTGCACAGGTGTTCCAGCTCCTCCCCTTCAGTCCTGCACAGGTGTACCGGCTCCTCCCCTTCAGTCTTGCACAGGTGTACCGGCTCCTCTCCTTCAGTCCTGCAGAGGTGTACCGGCTCCTCCCCTTCACTCTTGCACAGGTACAGGTCCCCTGGACTGAGATGGTTTCCTCTGATCTCACTGCACACTGGGAGCTTCTCACAATGTGCTTTAGAAGCTGCAGCCAGTCAGATAGAGCTCTTCTTCATTTCCTGGTTGGAGGACATTCAGCATCATCCAGCTCTTTCCTCCCCAGCCTGATTGCCCCTGGCCACGCCCCCTTCATTCATTGGAATTCAGTTCTTTCAATTCTGGATGCTCAGCATCACATGTGGATGTTATATAGGGTGATCTGCAAGAAAATCCAGCCTGCAGAGGAATATTGGGTGTCGCTGCCCATGTACTGGGTATTGCCACATCAATAATTCTGGATCCCTCATTGAACACCGAATCCATAATGGAAAATATTGATTTGATTGACAGTCGTTCCACCATTGTATTCCACAGGGCCCTTGATTTCAGAAAATGTTTAATCCTCTGAGGTTTTAAAGTAATCTTCGGGCTTAAAATGTGTATTTTAACACAAAAAAGCTTCCTGTAATACACGCGGGGTAAGGGGGGGGGGGGGCAGTACAGCGAGCCAATCAGGCAGGACTACATTGGAGAGGGCGGTCTTCTAACAGTGGGTGTAATGCGCTCATCAAAGTGAAAAGTGAGGCCGCTGACCTCCCTGTGTTGTCTGACAGATAAACCCGGATCACAAGGCTGGAAAGACAAAATGACACAAATTTTTGCAGGTACGTAAAGTTTAATATGAATGTTTTAACACCGCTAATAAACAGCTAATTCACACTGTGGGGGAGGGGAGCTCCAAGCTATGATCATAAGGCTGCATTCTAATACTGGGAGCTTGCTGACAAGAAGAGAGGCAAAGTGTACAGGGAGTGACCAACGTTCCATTCCTACCTAAGCAGCAAGATGGGACAGGATTGGTGGTCAAGCCATGTGGCTTTAGCATTTTTCGGGACCCTCTAGCCTTTCTACTGGTGATTTGTCCCGTAGCTGCACCCAAATACTCAACAATCTATATACAGCGACTGCCAGACAGACTTCCACCCTGACAACCTACTTTTATTATTTTATTGGCTCACTTGGGTTGGGGGTACAGGATACTCCAACCCAGAATCAAACAATTCTCTCCTCTCCAAAGTATCTTGTTGTATCTTTAACCTCTGCTGTGGGCTAATGCAGGTTCAGTAGGCCAGGCAGACAGCTACTTTCAAGTATCTTCAGACCCTTTTACGGGCTGGCAGTGGCTGTTTGCCCCAAAATAGACAACATGTAGAAATAAATCTTTAAGCTGACATCAGCAAAAAGTAGTTGTGGACCTTTAAGACAAGACCAGCAATTGGCAGAATGGGACCTTAGAGCTGAGGCTAGCAATTGGTGGTAGTGGACCTTTGATCCCAGGACAGTATCTTGTAGAAGTCCACCTTTGTGCTGAGTCCAACAATTCATAGTAGTGGACCTTTCAGCTAATAAGTAGAAGTAGACCTTTCAACTGAGACCAGCAATTGGTAGTAGAGGCCCTATGTGCTGTGACCAGCTATTAGTAGTATTTAAGCTTTGAGCCCAGAACAGCAATTAGTAGAAGAGCACTTTTAAGCTGAGACCAGCAATTAGTAGAGGCAGATCTTTCCATTGAAACCAGCAACTGGTAGTAGTGAACCTTTGAGCTGAGATCAGCAATTTGTAGAAGTGGACCTTTGAGCTGAGATCAGCAATTTGTAGAAGTGGACCTTTGAGCTAAGACCAGCAATTGCTACTAGTGGACGTTTGAGCTAAGACCAGCAAATGGTAGTAGTTTACCTTTGAGCTGAGACCAGCAGTTGGTAGTAGTGGACCTTAGAGCTGAGATCAACAATTCGTAGAAGTGGACCTTTGAGTTGAGACCAGCAATTGCTAGAAGTGGACAGTTGAACTGAGACCATAAATTTGCAGTAGTGGACGTTTGAGCTGAGACCAGAAATTTGTAATAGTGGACCTTTGAGCTGAGACCAGCATTTGGTAGAAGTGGACCTTTGAGCTGAGACCAGCAATTGGTAGAAGTGGACCTTTGAGCTGAGACCAGCAATTGGTAGAAGTGGACCTTTGAGCTGAAACCAGCAATTGGTAGAACTGGACATTTGAGCTGAGACCACCAATTGGTAGAAGTGGACCTTTGAGCTGAGACCAGCAATTGCTAGAAGTGGACAGTTGAACTGAGACCATAAATTTGCAGTAGTGGACCTTTGAGCTGAGAGACCAGAAATTTGTAATAGTGGACCTTTGAGCTGAGACCAGCATTTGGTAGAAGTGGACCTTTGAGCCCAGAACAGCAATTGGTAGAAGTGGACCTTTGAGCTGAGACCAGCATTTGGTAGAAGTGGACCTTTGAGCTGAGACCAGCAATTGGTAGAATTGGATCTTTTGAGCTGAGACCATCAATTGGTAGAAGTGGACCTTTGAGCTGAGACCAGCAATTGGTAGAAGTGGACCTTTGAACTCAGAACAGCAATTGGTAGAAGTGGACCTTTGAGCTGAGACCAGCATTTGGTAGAAGTGGACCTTTGAACTCAGAACAGCAATTGGTAGAAGTGGACCTTTGAGCTGAGACCAGCAATTGGTAGTAGTGGACTTTTGAGCCAAGACCAGCAATTGGTAAAAGTGGACCCTTGAGCTAAGATCAACAATTGGTAGAAGTGGACCTTTGAGCTAAGATCAACAATTGGTAGAAGTGGACCTTTGAGCTAAGATCAGCAATTGGTAGCAGTGCTCCTTTGAGCTAAGACCAGCAGTTGGTAGAAGTGGACCTTTGAGCAGAGACCAGCAATTGCTTAGGCAAGATTCTTCTTCAGCTTTAGCTTACCCCCCAGGCTGGGGGTCTAAGAAGCTTGAACTGGACTTCCCTGATTTACTTCCCGCTCCAGGTAGCAGGTCTAGGAGGCAAGGACCTTTGGACCAAAGTCTGGGAGGAAAAACAACCTTCTAAAAGGTCTCCCTAAATGTTTCACCTCTTCCTCAGCCCACATACCTGGCATAAACCCCTCAGAGATTGACCAAGGTGGAATGATTATTCATAACCTCACAGATTGTCTTCTAATTCAATTTGCTGGAGAGCACTCCTCAGAAACAGGTGGAAGCAACAAAATCCCTGCTCTTAGGGGACACCTAAAAAACAGAATAAAGCTCAGGATGGCTACACTAAATGTAAACTACAGTCCAGCTTATGGCCGGGTCCCTATGCGTGTAATGGAGAAAATGATGTCACTAAATTGTCTATGTTGTCTGGCAGGGGAGTCTGGAGTACAAGATTGGCTGGACAAGAAGCGTGAAAATTTTTGGGAAGGTATATATTTTTGTTTTAAAATGTGTACTTTATTAGAACTTGTAGCAGTAACTGAATCTCTCTCCAAGTCAGGGGCAGACTGACAATTCATGGGGCTCCTGGGAAATAGGGGATCATGGGGCCCCTGTGTCCTCACCCACACTCAAACCACACCTAAAAAAGCCTATGAAAAAGCCTATGAAAGGTACCAGGGACATCTCATGGGGCCCCCTACAGTCTGCCCCTGCTCCAAGTATCAACGTGTTGTGATCCTCTGCTCAGAAGAAAGTCAGTCTGGGGGAGGGAGAACCTGAGCTCTGGGCGGATCGGTCTCTACTACAGTGCATGATGCCGAAGCTGGGATATTGGGACATTTGAGTGACTAAGCTGTATTGATTCACTAAACTGGAGAAACCGGAATTCTGACCTGTATGTGTTGTCTGGCAGGGCTTCGTGGACCACAAGACTTTGTGAAAAAAGCTGGAACTTTCTTGAAAAGTATGTACATTTTGAAATGAATATTTAATGTTTAGTCTGAGTATCCTGAAAAAAGTTTTTTTTTTACCAATACGTAAAGTATATAAATAAAAAAATGGAAGGAACAGGCCAACAAAATAAAAAGGGGAAAAAAGGATGTAAATTTCATTTATGTACCGTATTGCATGACCGCGCAATTGTCCGTTAAACTAGCGCAGCGCTGTATAGCAGAAAAATGGTGTAAATTGCAGTATCTATCCCATAGTTTGTAGACGCTATAACTGTCACAAAAGCAATCAATATACACTTATTGGGATTTTTTTCACCAAAAACATGGAGCAGAATACATTTTGGCCTAAATTTATAACCAACTTTGAGTTTACTATATATTTTTTATAGCTGAAAATAAAAAATATTGTTTTTCTTCAAAATTTTTGGCTTTTTTTGTTTATAGCGTGAAAAATAAAAAGCGCACATCTGATCAAATACCACCAAAAGAAATCTCTATTTGTGTGAATAAAAGGGTGTAAATTTCGTTTGGGTGCAGCATTGCATGACCGCGCAATTATCAGTTGAATTAGTGCAGCGCCGAGTAGCAAAAAGAGGCGTGGTCAGGAAGGGGGGTAAATCCTCAGGAGCTCAAGTGGTTAAAATTGTTATTTTGGGTTGTCAGTCGTGTGGCCGGTGTCCCCATTTGGTTATCACAGCTAGTAGAGGTACCTGAGTCTGCCTCTGTATCAGCTGACTGCCCTCCTCTACGCAGCCAATGCAGAGTGATTGAGGGAACACCGGCCCTGGGAGTCTTTCTGACAGTTGTCAGCCAGCAGAGGGAGGAGCTCCTTCAGGGGCGGGTCTCTGACCAAGGTGTATTACTTATTTGAGTGGATTAAAGTCAGGTCACTAACCAATCTTTTCTCTCTGGCAGAGGTTTCTGAATCATATGAATGGACAAACAAACTCACAGAATTTCTGAGAGGTAAAGCACACGGCACATGTGGACTTCCTCTGTGCATGCTCATGGTTCTGCTTTTACAGAACACAACATGTCCCCCACACCACACTTCTCACAGATTTATTGGTCACAAATGTTGGAAACCATTTCTCATTTTCCTTCCACTTCACAATTATGTGCCACTTTGTGTCGGTCCATCACATCCAATCCCGATAAATACATTGACGGTTCTGCTTGTCACATGACAACATGGGGAACGTTTCAAGGGGGAGGAAGACTTTTTCAAGGCGCTGTAAAC